CCACAATTTCGACTTCTTCATTCTCTTCTAAAGTACACTTCTTTTAATAGAGGAGCATTTCGAATTTAACAAAATTATGATATAAAATTTCTGTTTGTCTCTTTGTCAACCCAAAATTCATTGTCTCCTCTCGCAGTCGTTATGAGACTCGTTCCCAGCCCTCTTCTCCCTGACTATACAATTCAAGATGGCGACTGCATTCTTCACGTCCGCCATCTTGAATTTTGATAAATTATGGTATGTCCAAGGAGTAAAAGCGAACATTGGTATATAAAACGGTATCGAAAATTTACTTTCTCTTGAAATCTCAAGCTTGAAAATTGGAATTATTGAACAACGCATCCAAATGTTTAATTCTTCACTGCTTTTCACATTCTATTATACAATATTGAGTCTCGGCGATTCTCGACGCCGTAGAATCTAGAAATGTCTTGTTTAGTTCTCCCTTAGCATCTCATAGTTTCTTATTGAATCAATACTGAAAAGAACAGAATTCAAGGTGGCGGCCGTGCATTCCAGGACAGGAATGCATTGTTTCCATTAAAGGACAACGTGCTTTTCGCGATTTTCTCATTATCTTAGATTTCGAACCAATCACAAAGCACCCTTCAACAAGAGATTTGCAAAACAATATGTACGGACGCAAAGGTTCTTGGATGCACATGGGCCTTTAGATTTAACGTTATCTGCGTTTACAAAATGACAATTCTTAAGCTATCTTCGTTTTCATCTAATGATTTAAAAACGCAAAGTGCATCCGTGAACCTTTGCGCGATTTTCGTACATACAAAAAATCGCCATCTTTGATTTGGAACCAGAAGTACATAACATATATGTAAACCAATAAAGAAAGAAAGCAACTTTGAAACAGATCTTTTTGAACAAGGCCCTTGGGAAACGAAAAAATTGTGCACTAGTAGAAATGTCCGTCTAATAGAAAGGGATGTTGAAACGGTTAAACAACGTATACATATTCTTGTTTCATATTTAAAAAAGCATCCCTAATGATTAACGGTCTAAAGATCAACGCCCTCGCAAAAAATTACAACAACAAAAAACAAACAAACAAAAAAACGAAAACGAAACAAATTCTGGAAACCTGCGGAACACCACGTTAAGTTGACAGTTCTACTTACGGACAGATTTTCAATACCTGTTTTTCTTCCCATACAAACACTGTATTTATACCTTCTATTAAGCGGAATTTCTCGTAAGGACACTTTCAGCGATTCCCAATTGACCTTTTCTATTGTTTTCAAATGCCCGCAAGAGGACACTTAAATTCGATAACTCTTATTTGATCTATTTTACGATTATAATGACATTTTATTGCTCTATTGGAGCGTCCGTAAGTAGAGATTCGACGGTAATAACAACAAAAACTTGCCAACATCAGTTTTTTTTTCTAATTCATTGTTCATTACTAATTAAAGTTTTTAAACTATTTGTTGGAATATACAAAATAAATCATATTACATAAGCGAACGGTGATGCGGATTTTATCTTGCTTAAAGGATCTTTCACGAGTGAGCGTAACGATTTCCAACACAAGAAGAAGACAGAGAAGATAAAATCCGTATCTCCAAGTGACCATGTGATATTCTGTTTATCACATAATTATTTATGAAAGCAAATTATTAAATAAATTTTATTTAATTGTGTAACTTTTTGATATATAACGCGCGCTCTGATTGGCTGACGATTGTGTTTATATCACAGTACAGAGACACGGCTTTCCGGCAAAGATTTTTTTTTTTTCGCTCGAAAAACACAGAAACATTTTATAAAAGAACTATAAAACGCCCGCATGTGTCTCTGTCCTCTGATATAAACACGGTGGGAGTTGAAAAGTACTCGAGACAGCAAGAGAAACATTCGATACGCTCGTGTTTCTAAGCTTGCTTCTCTCGTGTTTTCAACTCCCACCGTGTTCATACCAAAGGACAAAACCCCGTTTTTCCTCCCATACAAACATTGTATTTATACTTTCTATTAAGCGGACTTTCTCGTAAGCGAACGCGGACACTTTTAGCGATTCCCAATTGACCTTTTCTATTGTTTTCAATCTCTCGTAAGCGGACACTTAAATTCAACAACTTTTATTTGATCTATTTTCACGATTAATAGCATGTTGTCAGTTTTACAAGCTTGTGAATGATAAGACTTACAACATTATATATGGAGCTGAATTACTGTGTTATGTCCTTCTTTCTTCAGTTTCGATTTTTTATCAAAAATTCATTGCTAAAGGATTATCACATGTCACTTCTAGTCCATAGCCTACTCCTCTGTTAGTGCGCTTTCCCATAATAGTGTTGGTCGTTTTACGATAAGTAACGTTTACAACATGAGCGGCTGTGTTGTATTGGAATTACAATCTCGAGCGGCTGGCGAGGGCAAATAGAACGGGCGTATAGAACGAACAGGACATATGAATGATATTTTATTGCTCTGTCATTTAACGTGGTGTCCCGCAGGTCCCAGAGTTTCGCTTTTTGGCGTTGTAATGTTTTTGTGAGGACGAGCAAAATATGCAGTAAGTCTTACTTCTACTGGCCTTCAGCCTTCTGTAGAGAAAACAAAGCTCTTTCAATGTGACTTGGTCATGTTTATTAAATACAGTATATTTTGATACATAGTGCCGTATTTGCAAAATYAATCGCTTAATCATTGAATTACACTATGTTAATCGCTAAACATTAGCAATGCTTTTTTAACTATTAAACAAGAATATTTGACGTTTGTTTAACCGTTTCAAAATCCCTTTCTATTAGAAGGACATTTTTACTTGCGGTTATGTAATATATACATACTTTACTACTTTGAATCTATGCCTATGTAATTTGATATCAAACGAGAGAAATAAACATTATGAAAAATTGAGGAAATATCAAAAGATAACTAGTAGCTCCATACATTTTACTACAAATATGCAAATTACCCACGTATAACAATTAAAATACATAGAGGCTAATCGGTTACGCGTTTCCATGTTCGTTACCACACGAAGCAAATTCTGTGGGAAAAAGAACTTTTGTTTCTAAGAATTCCACTGTGAAATGAAAATACAACTGAAACAAATGAAACTTACTCCCGGGTGGTTTGAATTGGGTGGAAACGTTTATAGCATCGCGTTAGCCGATTAGGTCTATTTCCTGCAAATATCGTATGTGTTAAATGCGGCATCGATATATTATGTGGGATCCCTGTGTTTTGTCAGAGTTTCTTTCACCTAAACCTCTTAGCCATCTTGACGAAACACTTCGACCTCGTCTGGCTGAAAGTTGTACGATCCTGCAAGAAGGTTCCTTGCTTTAGTTGATCCAGATGTGTAGCCTTTAATCAGTACATAGCTATTTCCAAGGTTCGTATAGGAGATTTTGTTGCTACCAGCTGTAATATAAATAGCTATGTCAGCGCCGCCTCCAAATCTTGGTCCCCAGCTGCTATATCCCTCAATTGCATGCTGTGATCTGAAAACTTTCATTTTAAATGGCTTCAAGTT